GTGCTCAGTTAAGATATTGCACTGTATTTAAATATTGCACTGTACACAGCAGATACAATTTCACGGTAAAATATTTCTGAGTTGTTTTTAACACAAAAAAGTGTTATTTTAACTATTTGAAAGTTAAATGGGGGTATGAGTTGGGGTTATTTACCAGAGTTGATATGTTAATTGAACTTCCCCTAGTGTTCATTCAGCTTCACTTAGTGTTGATTTGGCACTTCACAGCCACCACTCCAAACTCACGTGAGATAATTCAATTCAATTTTATTTCTACAGCACATTTAAAACAACTTCAGTTGACCAAAGTGCTTCACATACAAGTCAACAAATAGGAGAAACAGTTACAAATACATATATACAAAAAACATGTGAAAACTACAATAAAAACACCAAGATAACCTGACTAGATCGTACTAGACGCCAGGAAGAAGAGGTGAGTTTTCAGTCTGGTCTTAAACTGTGTTACAGACTGAGAGGATCTGACAGAAAGTGGAAGGTTGTTCCACAGTCCGGGTGCTCACACAGAAAAAGCCTCTTTCACCTCTCGTCTTGAGCTGAGTTTTGGGCACAACCAACAGGAGATGGTCTGATCTCAGGGCTCTAAGCGGAGTATAGGGCTGCAGTAACTCCCATATGGAAAAGGTATAGACAAATCATACACCATTTTAACATGTTTTATCTGAATCCTAAAAGATTTGTATTTGACAGTGAAAACACTTACAAGATCTTTGGTAAATATGTGCAGCATGAAGTATATAAAACTTTGTAACCTGCAAGGACTGTATATGACACTAATCCCACACACAATCTCCTCACAAGTGTTGGACAAAGGTCATTTATTTCATAGAAAAACAAGTGAAATGATGTTTGTTTCCTTAAACTTGATTACTGTGTTGTGTGTGTGTGAGAGTGAGAAAGAAAATGATCACAGTGTTTGTGTGTGTGTGTGTGTGTGTGTGTGTGTGTGTGTTAGGCAGTATGGGGGTAAACACAGTAATGTAAATCTTGCATTACAACCTTAAAAACATCTTCCACTGATCTCACAGTGAACAAACATCAGGCTGTATATTACAACGAATCGTTATCCGTCTTTTCATTTTGGTTTTGGAGACAAATAACGAAGAAAACTGTTGTTTTTTCGTTTTCTTATTTTTGGTTTTATATTGAAAAAACGAATGAACGAATGATACACGGATTAGTAAGGCTGGGTATCATTCAGAAGTTTCCGATACGATATATACGTCAATACATACGCCACGATACAATACATACAGTGATCTTATGAGTCAATATGATTCAGTACAATATATTTCAATTCAATTTGATGCAATTCAATAAAAAATAAAGGCTAAATCATGGCTGTGATACTAAAAATTTTTGTTAAACCACTTCTTGTGCACAAAATTCATATGAAAAACACACACATTTTGATCATCATAACAGTAAACATAAACAAACAACAAAACTGCAGCTGTAACAAAAGAATTTAGTAAAATATACCAAAAAATACTCTTGGTGAAGTATCAATACAGCAGCCCATGATATTGGTACTGAATCATCACATTAAACGATACGATATATCGGTATTTCAATATTTTGAAATATAATATGTCTCTCTGGCAGCAGGAGACTATGGACCAGTGGAGTCACTTGGTCACTGCATCCAACAGATCAGTGTGTGGATGCAAAACAACTTTCTCCAGCTAAACTCTGACAAGACTGAAGTCATAGTGTTTGGTCCACAGAAACAAAGGGACAGTGTCAGCATCACCTCCAGTCTCTCTCTCTAAAACCTTCAAATCAGGCAAGAAATCTCGGGGTAATAATGGACTCAGACTTGAACTTTAACAGCCACATCAAATCAATAACATCTGCAGCCTTTTACCATCTAAAAAACAGAGCAAAAATCAAAGGTTTACTGTCTAAATCAGACTTGGAGAAACTTATCCATGCGTTTGTCTCCAGTAGGTTAGATACTGTAATGTTCTGCTCACTGGTCTCTCCAAACGAGCTGTGAGACACTGCAGAACATCCAGAACATCCAGAACACTGCAGCTCGGGTCCTGACTCGAACTAGGAAGTACGAGCACATGCGTCCTGTGCTCAGGTCTCTGCACTGGCTCCTGTGCCTCAGAGACTTTAAAGCAGCTCTGCTTGTACAAGTCTCTCCATGGCCGAGCACCAAAGTCCATCTGTGACATGTTAGTGTCATATGAACCATCTCACACTCTGAGGAGCTCAGGGACCGGCCTCCTGCTGGTGCCCAGAGTCACGACTAAACAAGGGGAGTCAGAGTTTCAGGTTCATGCAGCTAAAACCTGGAACAGTCTGAACATGTGAGACAGACTCTTCTGTGACGCTGTTTAAATCCAGACTCAAAACATTTCTGTTTGACTGTGCATATAACTGAAAGGTTTTCATTCTGCACTCTTCTCTCCAATTTATGTCTCTCTTTTTAAATTTTTATCTTCATGATTATTTATGTTTTGATTTGTTTTTATTATGATTTTAATGTATTTCTTATTCTGTAAAGCACTTTGAATTACTTTGTGTACGAATTGTGCTGTACAAAAAAACTTGCCTTGCCTATTTTTGCACAGCCCTATTGTTTAGTCATTGAAATAGTATTAGTATTAACTAGTTGTTACTAGTTGTACTTCGTAGGTGATCTCTAAAGTTTAAAGTCTAAAGGTCACATGACGCCATTAAAGCGCTCGCACTCGTCTCATGTGATGGAGTGCGGAGGCTGTGGGGGGGAGGGGCGTCTATCAGATGACCAGACACATTCAGGAGCAAGAGGGGGGGGCTAAAGGGGGCATTTGTGATGGGGCGGAGAGTGGTGAGAGGAGAAGAAGAGGACATTCGGGGTGACCAGTTGGGAGAAAATAGAAAGACAAGAGAGGGAATAGACAGGGCATTTAGGGGAGGATGTGAGAGGAAGAAAGAGGGAGCAAGAAGGAGAGGAGAGAAAGAGATGGGTGAGAGAGGGATGAGAAGAGAGAAGAGAGAGGGAAAACTAGATATAAAGAATAAAGCAGAGTAGAATGATAGGGGCGAGATAATGAGTAACTGATTGATTCTTTTTAAGTTTGTCAGTAGAGGCTTTGCACCGTCACATGACCCCTATATCAACGGTACCTATGCCGCCATGACACCCGGAACACTATGTCACTGACTTCAGCAGCATCGCAGAAACATGGGCAGGTTTTGTTGTGTATTTGGTTGTTCTAGAGGCTCTGAAAGGGATAAAACAATTTGTTTCTTCACTGTTCCTCTGGAAATGACTCATCAGGATCAAACAAGGGAATTAACCAAAAAAGATGGGAATTATGGCTAGAGAACGTAAACCACGAAGAGATTTCCTATGGTACCATTGTTACGACCCAGCTCGTTGGGGTGAGGGAAGAAACAAAAATAAAACCAAGATGTAAAATGGAATAAATTAAATAATGTTTAATTAACAGGAATGTAAAAGTAAATTAACAAAAGACTAAAATATACAGAAAATAACCTAACTAAGAAACAAAACTACAGACAACGGGTTTTGTGCCACAAAAGGGGTCACGCAGGCTTACACAATAACGAGTGGTAAAATCAAAGGACACACACGAAACTAAACACAAGTTCCCCAAATTAAACCACATAAGCCCACAAACAGAATCGAGTGACCACATCAAAAAAGGCACAAAACAGAACTAAACTAAACACAAACACTAAATGGCAGCCTGACCACCAAGGCCAGCAGCCCTGAGCAGGTGCTGTAATCTCCTTAAATAGGGGGAGGTGGCTGCAGGTGAGGTGGGCGTCGACCTGCCCCACCAATCATGGACCAGGGCTCCTGCAGCAGGAATTAAGAGAAGTCGGCAAAAATCAGACAAACAAATTAGACCTAAGGCCTGGGGCCGTAACAACCATCAAGACACACTCACGTCACTTTCATCAAGGTATTTGCTATTTAAATTGTTTCATAGTTTATTTAATGAGAGAAGCACATTTACTGAACTAAAATGTAAAAAGAAAACATTTGCAGTGTGAGTGGCAGTAGAAACTGGATCTTTCAGCGCACATATAAACATGTCACTCGTCGTAGGACCATGTTTTCTTTATTGTCTTGTTTATCCACAACTATGTCTTCTAGAATTAATCACTTTTTGTGAGTGGATCTTTCTAACGTTCACGAGGATCTTTTCATGGCCGATTCTTTCGAGGTTCGGCTCACAGACTCTTCGACTCGTGCATCATGTTGATCACAGGAGCCCAGTGTGGGTTTGTTGAATCATAAACTAGTGCAGATTTTCCTGGATAAATTAATGAAATTTTAGTTCAGTAAATGTGCTTCTTTCATTAAATAAACTATGAAACTATTTAAATAGCAAATACCTTGATGAAGAAAAGTGAGAGAGAGAGAGAGAGATGGAGGAATAGAGGGGAGGGGCGGGCATGTAGTGGGGTGAAGCGGGGAGAGGGAGGGGAGTCGGGGGCTGCGTGGTGGTTCCAGATGGACAGTGGATGGGAAGTGTCCCCTTGGTGAGAGGCTGGTTCGGGGTCAGCACATGCCAGCGGTGCCGTCTCTGCAGCTGACACGACGTCACATGTGAAGAAATGATGAAGACAGAAGGAAGGAGGGGAGGAAGAGGAGGAAGAGGAGGAAGAGGAGGGAGAGGGAGTGGAAGAGCCTACACAACAACTTCAGTGGCATTTAAATATTGCACTGTACTGAACATTGGACTCAATCAAAAATATTGCACTATGGAGTGTGTTGTGTGTACAGTGAGTGTGTTGTGTGTACAGTGTGTGTGTTGTGTGTACAGTGAGTGTGTTGTGTGTACAGTGTGTGTGTTGTGTGTACAGTGTGTGTGTTGTGTGTACAGTGAGTGTGTTGTGTGTACAGTGAGTGTGTTATGTGTACAGTGAGTGTGTTGTGTGTACAGTGAGTGTGTGTGTTGTGTGTACAGTGAGTGTGTTGTGTGTATAGTGTGTTGTGTATGGAAGATAAGTTGTTCCATCAGAATTTGAATTTTAAACGGCTCTGAATTTGTCTTTGTGAATTATTTTACTCTGAAAAAGAGCATCTGAATTTTTTTTTCTTCTGAATTTGAAGCACTGAAATTTCAGTGTATAGTTTTCAATGTGTTTAAAATTTCAATTTTTTTAAAATTAAAAATCATCTATAAAATATTGGATGTATTTTTTTTCAAACCCTCAAATACGACTGTCTAAATTCGCATTGTAAAATACGATGAAGAAAAATGACCCAGCCAACATCCGGGATACTGAGGCATTTGCAATCGCTCTTGCAGAGTCGATCTAACTTCTAGCCAATCACGCAACGGTATAGTAGTCACGGGAACAACCACAAGTCCACGGACGGAAATGGCAGCCGGTGGCCGCTCTTCGGTAATTATGTTCATATTTTCTAACCTTTTTCGAAGCTAATACTTATAAAATCTTACAAATAACAATTGCTTGACAACATTAATGTAAATGCTTGTACTCGCATTATTGGCGATTTGATAGAAACAACATTAATAGCGCTAGTTAATGCACTGTCATGCGCGCTCACCATAGACCACATGGCCCGCGCAAGTCAACCTGTTGTAAGGAAAACAACCACTAGGGGGCGATAGCCGCTACGGCTAATATGAAATACTGTCAACAAACATGGCAGCGCCCTTCTTCAACGATTTGATAGCATTTTATGTAGTGAAATAGAAAGAAAATACAGTGTTCTATGTCACTTATAGTAGGCTAATAAATATATTTGGTAATTTTACAGGATAGTCAGGCTGAAATAGTGCAGTCAGCAAGGCGTTTATTACATTTGCTGACTTCGTCTGAAAGACAGTCAAGTGCAGCAATTCAAGCCTCAAGTCAAGATAACAGGGATTTGCTTCACCATTCATTTGTTGTGAGACAGCGTTCGATTTCAGCAGCAAAGACAGAGAATTTCTTGTTTCCTTTATGCATCAACAGATTACAGTGTACTTAATTATTCATGGGTTTCAAGATATGACAACCATCCTTCATGGTTATAGAAATAAAGCTATTTAAATTAAAATATTATATCTTTTCAATGGAGAAAGGTCCTCACAAAGTCCTTCAAATCTGGAAGGAATTGTTTGTCTGAAACACATGATTACATATTTACCTTCATTATGCCCAATGTAAAAAGCTACAAATGTTTAAATAAGTGGTTGTTTTATGTCTACCAGGATCTCCTGAACCAAGTTTTGAGACGACTTCAGTCTCGCCTGGAGCTTATTCTGGAACGTATTCCTTTGGATTTGGACTTTTTGGAGTTCACTTGCACCCAGGAGTTTGTTTTCTTGCATGCTCTGTCTAGTCAGGTACCCATATCTGCAGAAATATTAAATGCATTAATGGAATTGCACACTCTGGTGAATCATGAAAAGGAAAGAAACAGAGCACATGCTCGAGTAGTACAGTTTGAACAAGGACCAGCTGGGCGACAAAGAATGGTGGTGTCCTCAGACCACCTCCTACATCTACTTGAACTGAACTTGTCTGTGCCATCTATAGCCAAACTCATGGGAATCTCCAGGAGCACACTATACAGGCGTATGGGCGACTTTGGTGTCTCAGTGAGATCACAGTACTGCACCTTGACAGACGAAGAACTGGACCAATGTGTGAGAGAGGTAATATCCAGGCAGCCTCACTCTGGATATAGAATGGTGAAGGCTCTTCTGCAAGCCAGAGGACTGAGGGTGCAGTACGAGCGTGTGAGAGCCTCCATGCACCGTGTCGACACCAATGGAGTCATATCTCGAACACTTAACCTGGGCTGCATCAATCGCCGTACCTACTCTGTTCCAGGACCTCACTTCCTGATGCATATTGATACGAACCATAAGTTGATCCGGTATTCTTTTTACATTACAACATTATTAGTATACTGCTGCATTTGTTTTTTAACATTTTTTATTTTATATTATAGGTATAATATTGTCATATTTGGAGGGATTGATGGGTTTTCCCGTAAGGTAAGCTTATTAGTCCAGAATTGCAACTTGTTTGAGAATCATATGCAGTTGTTGTGCTGCTCTAAACATAATTTCGTTGAGATTTAATATCCCAATGACAATAAACCAATTAAATGATTGATAATAGTCATTTCAGCGTGGTGGTCAAATGCAGAGGACAAATTTCCCTATGGGGACAATAAAGTACCTTTTTTGTATTCTACAGATTATGTATCTGGGTGCATCCTCCAACAACCTTGCATCCACAGCTCTGGCTTTCTTCAACAGATCAGTTGACAAGTATGGTTTTCCTCAAAGGTACATGCTCCCATTCATAATACTGTTTCTAATTTTGACTTAATTGTTTAATTCAAAACTACTTGATCTGCTCTTTCAACATTTATGTGAATATTTGTCTATATTTTTTAGAGTTCGTGGTGATCAGGGGGTGGAAAACGTGGATATTGCCCGTCTCATGTTCACAGCCCGTGGAACAGGAAGGAGCAGCTTTATTTCTGGGAAAAGTGTACACAACCAACGGTAAATTGGAAAAATAGAAGAGTAGGTGTAAACCTAGATCTTAATTAGAATTTATTATCTGTTCAGGCTTTAATGGTTCAGAAAAATAGTCATCTGCAAGTTTCTTTGCAAATGTATTCCAGTAAAGTATTCTAATTTAACTATATCATTATTTGTCATTTATCACTGATTAATATCGGGGCAATTTATTGTTCAAGTAGCAAAAAATAATGGCATTTCTTATTATTGCAATATGAAGTACACAAAATAAGTTATATGTAATTATGTATGTATAATTCTACTTAAACAATTTATATACATTTTAAATTGACCATATTTTAAGTGTATGGTTTATTTTTCAGCATAGAAAGGCTGTGGAGAGACCTATGGGTGGCTGTAACAAGCATCTATTACGATGTTCTCCACTACCTTGAAGAGGGCGGTTTTCTCAGCATTGGGAGTCTTGTACATCTCTTCTGTTGCCACTACGTGTTTCTGCCACGCCTACAGGAAGACCTGGACACCTTTCGATGTGGTTGGGATAACCACGCACTGAGAACTGAAGGCAACATGACTCCAAACCAGCTGTGGGTTCTGGGTCAAACACACCACTCTAATCCTGGACCATATCATACAGAGGTTCGTCATGCTCTTTACATTTAAATTATTCAAATTTGAATGTCTATAAAGCTCATGTAGTATGTTCTATCTTTTGCTAGGATATGGACCTGCCCCATATTGAATGGGAAAACAGTGGGCTTCCTCATGATGAGCATGCAGGCATTGTGGTACCAGATATGTCCTCTCCTCTAACTGATGAACAACTGACAGCTTTAAAGGAGGCTGTTAACCCAATGGCAGCATCACAATCCTTTGGCTGTGATATTTATATGGCCGCTGTTCTTTACTGTGAGCATTTGCTCTCTTTGTGAATGAATCATAAATAGCCTTTAATTTTTTGTCAAAAATGAGTGGACATGTTAAATGTTAAGTGTATTGTGTGTAAGTAAGTTTATTATTAAAAGTTGTCCACAACAATCATAAAAGGATCCAAACGAACTGTTCTTCTGAATTTTTGTTAGCACAAAACCAGTTCATAATGAACCTGTGACAGAACCAGAAACACAATTTGAGAGACTAAACCCTTGACTCAGCTTGTAATAAAATCTTGCCTGAGCAACTCAAACCAGTTGCTTCCAGTTGCTTCCATGTGCATGTGAACACAACATTAACATTAGGAGAACATAACAATTCACACCAAACCAAATCCTGTATGGCAAGTGGAGATAGAAACAAGCATGTCGCTCTGGAACGCAGCATAATCTTTGTAGTGACATGGGATGCGCAGGGTCTCGTAGCAGGTTGAAGCAGTAATATATCTTCCTGCTCCCACTTCTACAGACAGACTCGATGGCAAGACCTCCCAGCCAGTCCAGAATTTGACTAGGCTTTGCAGTTCAGCTGGTGTTACTACAGAAAAGAGGAAGTACATGACCTTTAAATATTTAATTAGAAATGATGAGATACTATATCCTGTATACCATTGTAGCTTTTTTCTTATAAATAAGACCACATGAGCAGCCTACCTGTAGTGATAAACTCCCGGAGATAGCCAGACACACGACATTTGGTGTCAACTGGGCAGTCATCGTCATCATCATCTGCCTGTGGCCATTTGATTCGCTGCAGAAGAACCTGTGTTAAAAATGGCACATGAAAAAAATATGCAGCATTTCTACAAGACTAACATGATACTTTGACAATATATTATAAAAATATATGCAACAAACTCACCTGAGGGCAGATAATCCCTGCTTCCTCTGTGGGGAGGAACAAATCTACTGTGTCTGGTCTCTGGGTGAGCATGGTCCATATTGGTGTTTCTTTTAGTCCCCGGCGGAGTTGCTTAATCTGTCTTATTACTCGCCCAATCACCTTCAAGAGAGAATGAGGGGAATGTACATGTGTTCATAGAATTTTTCAATAAATCCAAAAGTACTACTTGACCAGAAATACTTACAGCATGAATTAAAAGTTTTTCAAAAAGCCATTTTCGGTTGCCCTCAGTCAGGGGAGGAAGATCCCAAGCAAAAGCCAAATCCTGTATCTCTACTTTATCCTTCTCAGACAGGTTTGACTCACCTTCCAACTGATTGAAGAGATGGTACCAGATCAGAACATAAACTTTAACTAAGCTGTATTCTTTAATCCACAACTTGGTTTCAGATTAAAACATTATCGAGTTCATCAAAAATAAACAATGGGTATGGTGAATAGTGAAAAGATGGAGTAACATACAAGCCTGATGGTGTCACGGATGTCCAAGTCAGGACAGTCCTCCAGGGTGACTGTACACGTTTCAGGAGTGCCTCCAAGGAGAACATGAACAATAGCAGGGCTGAGGCCAGACAGACAAGGTCCTCCGTGGAGGAAGGAGTGACCCATCATCCTCCCCGCCATGAGGAAGAGGTCGCTTTCAACCAGAAAGTGTGAAGCTGATGGGACAAGATGACTTGGCTCCCCTTCAAAAAGTCGAGTAACACTGCAGTTTGCTATGGAAAACAACGATGGGACACAACAAATCAAAAGCTTTTATTAGTAGTCTCTGTTTCCATATCCATATTTCATATTCTATATCCATATGGGAATATGTGTGCATGGTGCCAAATGGATAAACTGGAACATACCAAAATGTATGTGAAAACCTGACTTCAGTTTTTCCATGCACGTGGAAAAAAAAAGCGCGCAACACCATGTCCTACAGCTGTGTCCCCTATAACAAAAAAATAAATAAATACTCAAACTCATTTCTAAGAACCTTTAACTTTTTAGGTTTTACCTTCAAGTCTGTCTGCATTTCAGTGGACGGGCCCATTCCACATTTTTTTGCTTATAAAAGGAGATGAGGGCCATGTCCTGCTCTGTAAGACTTTTTCTAATGTCCATGCTGAGAATTAATGGGCTGTCCATTGCATGGTTTTGGAGAAAATGTTTTGCATATTGAGATATGGCCTCCCTTGGATCACTCAAAGATAACCAGTCTAGAAGGAAAGCATAAAACAATGCAATACCTGATTTCGATATAGTGTACATTTGATTTGATTATAAATGTACAACAATTACCAAATAAGACATTAAACACTCAAATGAAAACGTATTCACAGCATGACAAAATTTGNAACAGAAGCAGGAAATGAATGAAGAAGAGTGTAGCTGCCAAGTCCACATGAAACTGAGTTCATTACCTGTTGTGTGTTTGCAGACGGCGACACAAAACACTGAAATAAAAACATGAATCTACCTTAATGTAGTGATCCAGGTCTAAAGGCTTTAATGGAGACTGACAGTGTAGTACTCACAGATGGAGCGCAGAGTCCAGAGAAGAGAGGCTCCCATCCTCACAGTCTGAACACACTCAAACTAAACACAACACTATACACTCTTCTGACAGAGGGGTGGGGTTATGCACTTCATGATCTGAAACTGGACTGAAGACGTCACTTCCTTTTCACACTCACCAGATCAAAAAACGCTCCAAAAAAGGAAATAAATGCGAAGGTGTAAACGTCATCAACACATCATCTTCTATTTATTTATAGTGATGAGGTGGTGACATGTTTAATGTGCACAGACATGAGCTTACATGACTTGAGTTGTTTTAAAGTTTTATAGCCTTCCTCTTTTTCAAATTGTTAATAGTTGAGGGAGCAGTGGTTTGTTGTAGTTTTACTGTGATATTAAACTTTGTGTGTGAGTGGATCATGTGATCTCAAACTGCTGTGCTGAAGGTGTGAACCTTTACCCAGAAACATACGTCACTTCCTCTTCGCAACGAACCTTTGTTTACTGCTGTAGAGCAAAACAACACTTGTCTTGTTGTATGTGTGAGTTTTATTTTGGTGATAAGTGGCGTTATGTTAATGTCGTGGGGGTGGGGTTATGCACTTCATGATCTGAAACTGGACTGAAGACGTCACTGTGTTTCCTTCCTTTTTTACAGTCACCAGATCAGAATCTGCCCAAAAAAGGAAACAAATGTGAAGTTGTAAATCATCACCAACACATCATCTTCTGTTTAGTTGTAATGTTGAGGTGGTGACATGTTTTATGTGCACAGACATGAGTTTACATGACTTGAGTTGTTTTAAAGCTCATAGTTCAGCAGAGTCACCATCAATACATCGAGGTAAATGTGAACCACACGAGGGAGACGACACCCAAACTCTGTCCCTTTAAAAGATACAAATAACAAAGGATTTCAATGTTATAATTAAATATATAAAATAAAAGTCTTAAATATCTTGAAGTGTCACTGTTTCAGTGGCATGAATATAGTTATAGGCTTCCTTTTCCAAAAATAATGTGCATATTTATTTTAAATCATCTCTTTTCTTCCTGTGTTTTTCAATTTTGTGTATTAAAACAATCAAAATTCCACATCAGTTCAGTGTATGAAGAATAGTTCATAGTTGAGGGAGAAGTTGTTTGGCTTGTTAGACATTATGGCTGCGTTCAGACTGCAGCCTGAAGTGGCCCAAATTCGATTTTTTGGCCCCTTTGTGACCTGTATCTGATCTTTTAATGAGTCTGAACGACACAGATCCGATTTTTTCAAATGTGACCCAGGACACTTGGATCTGTGCCTGAAACTGATACATATCTGATCTTTTGACATGTGACTTCAGTCTGAACGGCCAAAGTGCATTCATCCACCTACACGTTATCAACAAGACACAAACGTCACTATTCTGCGCTGAAGTAGGAGAAAACTGTTAATGAACTCCGTGTCACTGAAGTGAAGCACATCACCACTCCACTCTTGGCTCCGTCCCACATCCACACGTTCCTTTCAACGGACTGAACCACAAAACACCACGACCAAAAACCTCGTCCTTCTCCTTCTCAATCTCTTCCTTAAAACAAGTAAGTTGTTCATGTTTTGGCTCCGGTAAAAGAGGAACTTTAAAATCTCCAGGTGCTCGATGCTGCGTCCATGTTTGGACAACTTCTGTAAACACAGAGCACAGAGCATGCGGTTGACGTCGTCGTGTCTCCAGTGTCACATGTGGGACACTTTTGGACCGTTTAAAGTTCACTCTGGAGTCACACACAAGTCACATGTAATTGGAAATGTGAACGACCTCGCAAAAACATCGGATTTCACCAAAAAAATTCGAATTGAGCGTTAAGCCCTGCAGTCTGAACGTAGACTATGTGTCTGATTATTTCTGTGTAAGGCTGGTTTAGGATTACTTTATGATTGCTTATTGTTTAAATCAACTCATATGTGCATGAAGTCAGAAAGGAACAGAAACTAGACAGTTCAGAGTCCCACAGACTTGAATGGCGTCAGATAAAGGTCAGTGTGATGCTGCTTCCTCTTGGTGTGACAGGTTTTCTCTGGTATGAGGAGGAGGAGGAGGCGAGTCTGTGGGTCTGGTAAATCTACAATGGGGAAGTGTGTGGACCAATGAGAAAAAGACAACACCCGGATGCAACCAAAAAAGGACTAGGAAACCACAACGTTAGACTACGAGGAAAAAGACTCTTTAAAGGGGTTCAGGGTTGGAGAGGGGAAGCACAGCGGCGCACCGTCCAGATCCCGGGTTTTGTGTTCGATCAGGGACAGCTGAATTCTGTTGCTTTGTTATTCAATATTTTTAAGTGTATTCAATAAATAGAAAATGATTTGAACTCTTTTTGTCTGTGAATCCTCCTCCATCGACGAGCACTTGGAGGAAAGAGGTTAAAGGTCCATCTGATGCAAAATAACCCTTTTCACATTGTATCTTCTGCACAGTTTGGGTTTTGGAACATCCATTACACAACTGATTTCTTGGAGACAGTCACAGACCAGGAACTATGAATGTCCGACGATTGCTCCTCTCCCCGCCCGTCCTGAGAAAGCACAGGCTCCGCCCTCCAAACGTGCCGTAGACTCTGAGTGAGCCGCCCTTCCTCCGCCGTCTCAGGGAGGGAGGGGGAGACAGAAGCACGATTGGACAAACTTGAATCCTATAATAATGACAGTCGATCAAATGAGGAGGTC